GTCTGGCCCAGCCAAATTGTAACACTCAGAATAGAGCTGTACCCTTAGGCTAGCAAGAATAAGGGGCCATTATCACCCTAAGACCTAAAAACATGAAGAAAGGGAATGGTTACCAAAACCTGAAAGGTAGCAAGATGAAAAAATCAACCAACAGGAGCTAGGGCCCTCAGGAGAGGAAAGCATCCAGTCGGGAGGAGCCAACCTGGAGGGAGTGGGTGAATTAAAATCCCAAATTCACTGTTCTTCTACTCCTTGATTGCTTACCAAAATCTCCCATTGGCTGAACCCAACCAGAAGCTGGAGGTCAAGGAGCTCCAGAGAGCCTATTGCTGCAGTTCTTACGAGCCAGCTTCCCTAGAGTATAAAGCAGGGCAGGGAAAGGGTGGACAGTATATCTGGAGGTATTTGGTGTAGTAAATATCCTTGCAAAGGTATTAAAATTGGAGCTATCCTTCAGCTCTGACCTCTTCTCCAACTCTTTTGAAGCATTCTAAGAAAGCTCAATGGCTACCTTTTTCCTGAACAATCTTCTCCCTGTTCATTGCTTATTAGATTGTAGAAGAATAAAGTAAGCAAGATCTTTTACCTCCAGTTGGTTGAGGGTAAGACTGTTTCTTTACACAGGAATGAGTGCAGGCCCTAGGTTTTCATGCATCTATTTGGTCTCTTTCACTCTCTAATTCAAAAATATCTGGGAACATTTCTCAGCCTTAGGCTGATTATGTAGGTATCATTAGCCTTGGAATAAAATAAAATAAAAGAGATTTTTTTTGCATTTGTCATAAGGAACTCCCTCACTCCACTTTCTGGTCTAGAAATGTCCCCAAAGGATCTTAGAGGAAGTATGGAGTTTGGTAAAACCAATCAATGGTTCAAACCAACAACAAGGCTGCTTGAGTACAAATGCATAATGCAAAATTAGTGGGCAAAATGGACACATACCACAGTCATCACAAACCATCACTGACCACTTCACATTACATAAACACTACACCTGACTATGACCAATGAAGGGAGAATATAAAGAAAGAATGTTCACTTCTGCAAAGTGTGGCCCATCCTTTCTTCATAAGTGAGAACCAAAAGGTGGAGTGATTATATCTTTACTTCCAGGCCTAACTACTGGGGAAAGTGTATTTTCATACTTCCTAAAATATTACCAAGCAAAGGTATGTGTCATCCACTTTTCTTACTCCATAGTAGAAAACCTCTCCCCTTTCATCAGTAACCCATGTGACATCCTTTCCATTTTTTAAGTCCAATGACAATATGCTTTAAAAAAGTAAAAATTTTTAATTGAAAAAATAGCACCTCTTTTTCCTGACAACTTGGATCTATGTCTTCAAACACAGACTGAATTTTGCATGAGGACTAGGCTACCTTAAATATTCAGGTTAGTTAAAAGAAGAAGATAAAGTAAATTTAAAAGGAGTCAGGGAAAGAATAAGAGTAAGAGAATGAAAAAGAAAGAGAACTGTTATTAAAAACAGTAACAAAAATACTGAGAAAAGAAAAGAATGGCAGATCTTTCTAGTGAAGGTAAGAGACAACAGCTGTATTATGGGTCATTTTCTGGCCCAGTTCATGGGTGAGAGTATTCCCTAAGCTCTCTGAGTAATCAGAGTGCAGCAAATGATCTCGCTTCTGTTTCCTACCACAAGAAAGACACAATTCTTGACCTAACCTAGTATTTCCCTAACTACACATATAGATACTGCTCACACCTTCAGCATTTGAACAAAGAGAAAGAGAAAAAAAAAAAACAGAAAGTTATTCAGCCCACCAGGAATTTTCAGAGATTCCCTTATCTGAGTGGTAGCCCCAGGCAAGCCATAAGTGGATTCTAGCAGGAAGGCAGCGAAAAGCTAGGAAAAAAAGAATCTTTCTAGAGAGATTCCCTCATATTAAGTAATTTGCTTCCTAACAATGATCTTCAAAGAAGGTTAATGTATTTTAATCTATTGAGGGTTTACTGAATATCTATTACATGCAACACATAAGACCGAACTGTGTCGGGGCGCCTGGGTGGCTCAGTCGTTAAGTGTCTGCCTTCGGCTCAGGTCATGATCCCAGGGTCCTGGGATCAAGCCCCGCATCAAGCCCCGCATCAAGCCCCGCATCAAGCCCCGCATCGGGCTCCCTGCTCTGCGGGAAGCCTGCTTCTCCCTCTCCCACTCCCCCGGCTTGTATTCTCTCTCTCACTGTCTCTCTGTCAGATAAATAAATAAAATCTTTAAAAAAAAAAAAAAATAAGACCGAACTGTGGTGGTTATGATGATGATCACAGGCATAAGACAAATTGGCTTCCCCTAACAAACAGAACCCTTCCAGTTCTCTCCTTTGCAATGGTTGCTTGGAAAATCAGAACCACTTTTGAGCTTGTCTTAATTCCCCAGTTTTCTTTTTAAATTAAAGTATAGCCAACACACAATGTTGCATTAGTTTCAGGTATATGACATAGTGATTTGACAATCTATCCCTTATGCTATGCTCACCACAAGTGTAGCTACCATCTGTCACTATACAATGCTAATTCAGTACCATTGACTATATTCCCTGTGTTGTACGTTTTATTCTCGTGATGTATATATCCATAACCGGGCACCTGTATCTCCCACTCCCCTTCACCCTTAGTTCTCTAGTTCTTAATAATGTTATTCTATGGCTTCTCGTACCTGATTCACACTTCCTTTAATTCCTTGGTTTCTTTCTTTTGCCTAACCGCCTTTTTGACGGTTTCTTACCTTCTGGTACCAATACATTTACTGCAAGTCACTTCAAATGTTTTTGGAAAAAGTAAATTGATGTTGAACAAATCAATATTACAAAACATTTCTTGCTTCTAAAGACATCACAGTCTAATAAAAAGATAAAGTTGAAAAATATTATTGAAATATTACATCATGAATGGAGATCATAAAAGAGAAGCCCAAAATAAATATTTCTTAAAGAGGAGTGACACCACATCCAGGTAGAAGACCACTTTTGGATATGTCCGGTGAAATGAGCGTTGAATTACAAGAGAATATCAACACCTGAGGGTGTGAGGCTGGGAAGAGGAAATAAGCTTTCTTCTTGCAAAGAAGAAAATATGCACATTTAGAGCATATTAAAGTCAGATACTATTTGGCAGAAGCCTAAGAGAATGAAGGAGATAAGGCTGGAAAGACAGCTGGGAGCCAAGCGATTATATATGTCAAGGCAACTGCGAGTCTATCAAACAGAAAAGTGGTATGATCAAAGTGATCTCAGAGGTCACATAGTTACAGATAAGGAAATTAGGGGCGCTGGGGATAAGTGTTTAGCAGTATGTTTAACAGGCAAAGAGATGACTTCCTGGATGCCTGAGGAGGAGGCACCTTGTCTGCATAATCTCTACAAAGACCCACATAGACGCAGTTTTAAAAGACAAGCAAGGGAAGGGAGGCAACTCAGTCACACCCTAGAAAAATGCAAGTTGAACCTCACGGAGGGCTGCTTTCTTCTGTCCCTATTCCCATCAGCATATCCCAACCCAGTGAAGAAATCTTGTCTCTAGCTCCTGCTTGCTGACCAGAAACACCTCTGATGTCACAACAGATGAATCAAGCTTTGGCATCATCCCACAACACCCTGAAAAGTTGGTGATGGGGGAGAGGGGCAGCGAGATTTCTTTCCCAAATGATGCTGCCATGACAAAAAAAACCCCTAAACTTGGAGGATTCCAGAAAAGCCCATTTGGAAGTCATCGGTGAATCAGCGCCTTTCCATGACTCGGGTTAGCGCCACAGTCTTTATCCCCAGGCCTTAACTAGCGAACTGGGTCCAGCTGTACTGGTACAGCTGTTGAGCGCCTTCTATGAAAAAAAGTTCACTTCTGGCCCGAGTACCCCCAACCCCCACCCCTGAGTCTGTGCTTTTCCCGCTTCCCTCGCCACCCGTGCAGTTGTTCCCAGGCCCCGCGTGGCCTGTGACCTTAGCTAGCACTCACGTGGGGCTCCCTGCCTCAGCGGCTTCGGTGATGATTCCTAGGAACTTCCCAAGGACCAGGGCTCTGCAGGCTCTGACATGCAAGGGGTGGGGGTGAGGGGAGGAAGAGGGGAGCTGGTTGTCTGGAGAGCCCCGAGCGGCGCGGGCCAAGCCCGGGCGGAGCAGGGTTCATCCCCCAGAAGCCCAGTCAGTGTCGGCCTTCCGTCCCTTCAACCCCCTGTTGGCGTTGCCACAGCGCAGAAGGCGGCTAAACACCCTCTCTGGCTCCCTCCCTGACTCACTTCGCTGCGCTTCAACGCCTTTTTCTGGATGAACAAGGGTTTGCAAGTACAAATCCGCGCCCGCCATCTCGTTATTTCTCCTGTCCCTGCAACCCGCGCGGGTGCTCGGGTCCGAGGCGAGCGAAGTAGCCTAGGCTGCGCAGCGGCGGGCTAAGCGCCTGGCACGCACGGGCGCACGAATCCTGCGCGCCTCCGGGAGAGCCGCGCGCTGGACAGCACCCTCCCTGGGCGCGCACCTCCTCGCACCACTCGGCGCAGTGGGGCCCCGCTTCTCGTCTGGCCTTTAGAGTGGGGCTGTGAAGGTGGATGGGCGTTGGGCTTTGTGGTTTTAAGGGTTTCCTGACACCTATAGAACACCTATAGAACATGCTAGAGAAACCGCAGCCCCTGAGGTGCCCCCAATCACCCAAGAGTAGGCGCTTCTTTCCTGAAATTGGTAAGGGTGCTTTGGAGAAGTGAGTGTTTTGTGGGCGAGCCCCATCAGATCTTTTCCCATTCATTTCAACTTCGTATCAGCCCCTGGCACTATTGCATTTTAATGCCTTCACGCAGAAGTGCAGCCCAACCCCCCTGCCAAAGCATCCCATTAAGTAAGCATGTGTGTTTTCTCAGTTGCCACAGAGGGAAAGAACTAGTTGAAAGTGGCCAAAAGAAATACTCAGGGTGTACAGCATGCATGGGCATCGGTAAATAGTCCTTCGAGTGGCTGCCGTTTTGGAGTGTTTTTTCCAACAAGAAAGGGGCTTAGCCATGGAAATGGCTCTGTGGGAGAAAGATACAGGTATGTGTTTCTTAAAGCACTTTCAGGTACATATCAAGGGTTTAGGGCAAAGATAAAAGGAGGAAGGTGAGGGAAATTCCTGATGATTTTACCAATGTGAAAATTCCACAGATTCGGCTAGTTCTAGTTTTTCTTTCATGTGATCAATTCAGAATTCTATAAAGGAAGAGAATGACATCAAGGAAAATCATTGGCCTAGAAGAAAAGAGCCCGTAGGCGTTTAGGGGTTATATATGTGGAGCCAGAAAGCTCTGGAGCATCAGGGAGACTCCAACTTAAGGCAATAGCATGGGTGAATATGGGCTTCATGTGCACTGGGAATGAGAGGCAAAGAGTGGTGTCTGGGCACAATGCCCCTAAGGCAGGCCTGGAAGATCTAGAGACAATTCAGTGTGGATGGAAAGAGTTTAGTGAGAAACTGGGGTAGAATTGGGCTTCCAGGTACATTGCCTGGTGCCTTATTATTTCTTCTGTCAGTTTCTTTCAGGAAGATCTTCATCTTGCAACTGGTAGGACTGGTGCTAACCTACAATTTCACTGACTGTGACTTTGAGAAGATTAGAAAGAAGTATCAGGAAGTCATTTATCAAGCCCTGGAGAAATATATGAATGGGGTAAGTGAAGAAACACTTTTAAAAAACAAATGTGTTTTCATCAAAAGATAGGCATACCCACATACAAACTACAATTTAATTTTTAAGGAAAGAAAAATAACTTGGAAAAAATCATGGCCCAGCGTTTTGTCAAAAATTTTTACAAGTGATATTTAAATATATTGGCCTCTTAAACAACTACCTAGAAATAGGCACACATTAAGTGTGCAGATACTGATGAGGAGCAGATATTGATAGATAACACATATCTATCAAGGTGTCTATTCTCTACCAAAGCGCTGCTAGAAAGTGCAGTAGAAAGACCGTGGGAAAGGGCTTGAGAGAGAAAAGAGAGTAAAAAAGAGGGAATTCTTGTGAGCTGAGTCCTAACTAGAGATAATAGCCCTGGGAAAGGTGCACTTCAGGTCTTTCTAGTGTTCCTGAAGCCTTAGAATGCCATTATGGGATAAGGTGCACTTCAGAGTTTTAATATATAGTAGTAATCATTTTCTTGATTATTCTTTTTTTTTTTTAAGATTTTATTTATTCACTTGAGACACAGAGAGAGAGAGAGAATGAGCAGGGAGAGAGGCAGAGGGAGAGGGAGAAGCAGGCTCCCAGCTGAGCCAGGAGCCCGATGTGGGGCTCGATCCCAGAACTCTGGGATCATGACCTGAGCCGAAGGCAGATGCTCAACCTACTGAGCCGCCCAGGCGCCCCTTCTTGATTATTCTAATTTCTGGATAGAGCATGCATGTGTGAAATGCATGAATGGCCACAAGGCAGATTGTGGGCATTTGAAAGATGGGTTTTTTTTTTATTTTATTTTATTTATTCATTTGAGAGAGAGAGCATGAGCAGGAGGAGGGGCAGAGTGAGAAGCAGGCTCCCCGCCCCCGTCCCGAGCCAGGAGCCCGAAGCGGGGCTCGATCCCAGGACCCCGGGACCATGACCGGAGCTGAAGGCTGACGCTCAACCATCTGAGCCACCCAGGTGCCCTTGAAAGATGGTATTATTGCTCACTTGTGTAGTACAGTGTACAAGTGTGCCCAGTTTGGTGGTGGTGGGAGGGTCTCTCTCTAGGACCAGGATCCTTTGATACCCAGTTTCAAACACTAGCAGGCACTATCTGAACTCAAAGTGTTTCACTACCTTGTCAATGACAGGAACAGATGCATAGGAAACAAGTGCCTAAGTGGAAACTGCTTTCAGAGCATCCTTAAAACCTGGGAGCGGGCGGCTCCCTGGTTTTCTCCTGTGAACTAAATTTTTACCCTTCTTGTCATATATTTTTTTCTTCCTTCCAGATCAAAAGCACCGACTTCAACAACCCCATCTACTGTGAAGACCCGGTGAGTGAGTGGGTGGTCAGTGCTGCTGGCTTTCTCCAGAGAGACGCCAGGCGTGCCCGGGAGAGGGTATCCCGCTGTGCGTAGAGCCGCAGGCGGTGGCTGGGCTCCCAGGCGACGCAGACTACGTAGGGACGCCGGGCTGCGGCAAACCTCTGGGCCGGTGCCCAGCTTGGAATCCTACTAAGGTTCCAATTTAGGGCAAGGCAGTCTCTCTCCCCGGAGGGAGCGGGATTCCGGGAGAGTCCTCCCTCCCGCGCTCCCCGCCCGGGGGAGGAAAGGCAAATCGGGAACCGGGACCAGGCAACGACGTCAGGGGAACCTCTCCTGGGTGCAGAGCCTCGGCTTTGGGCGCCGCCTCTTCGCAATCGCCTGTGCCCTGAGACTGGGGCGGAGCGAGAACCGGCGCGCGTCCTTTCTCCTCCAGCGCCGCTGCCACTCTCAAAACGTCCTCCTTCCTCCTCCTTCCGTGGGTTCTCTCTCCTCCTCAACCGAGACTTCTTCCTCCCGCTCGAAGCGAGTGGTGGCTCCGCTCCCCGTCCCGCACCTCCCCCGCCGCATCTTTCATTTCTTACCGGTTTTTGTTTTGTTTTGTTTTGTTTACTGTTTTTTGTTTTTCCTGGCGTTTTTCTCTTATCTCGTAAACCTTGCCTCCCGTGAGCAGCCAGATTGCCTCACTAAAATCGAACGCATTACCTTCTATCCCACCCACGGCTGCACGTCTCTCGCCAAGGAAATCTTTGCAATAGGAACTAATGCTGCGCTCACTTTCCAGTGCCCAGGCTACTCCGGAATGCAGGTAAGCCAATACATTGGACTCTCGCTTTCTACAGCCTTGGAATTAAGCTTAAAGTGGGACTTTGTTGCAGAAGTCTTTATGATTTTTATTCAGGACCTATCTTTCCAAGAGCAAATGAGCCAGGTAAAAGCTATAGATTCAGTCCCACGTTCACGCAGAGACCTCAACCCACCTATTTCTAGGGTTCTGATTGTTTTGGCAGAACTGTAGTTCTGAACCTTAGGCAGTGTTTCAAGGTATGATCAGTGAGTCTCCTTCGTCCTGGCTGCCCGAGCATGGGAGGGTGATTATCCAAAATGGTAATTCCCAAGGACCCAACCTAGACCTTCAAAATCACAATCCCCATGCATGGGCTCCTAATGAGATTCTTACCCATTCCAAACTTTGAGCAGCATTGTTTGGGCTTACCACTTAATAATGTGTGCTTCTTTCTTAAATGTTAAATTATACATTAAATCTCTACCCACGTTTGCTTAATTGCTTGTATGGCTGTCTCATTACATAATGGATATTTGTATATGCAGTTACATGCATTTGAATGGATGTGTAACTCTAAATAGAAACAGTAGTGCAGAGTGAGGAGCAGGAAATGTGGAGATGGTCTTGCCTGACTTTGAATCCTAGCCCCAAAACTTCTAAATTGACATAACTTCTAGGCTCTGTGTGCTCAGTTTCATATGCAAAATGAGGCTCCTATTAGCAAGTCCCATATAGAGTGTTTATGAGGATTAAATGAGTCAACAGATGTTAAAGTACTTAGAGTAATGCCTGGCATATAACAAGTCTTCAATAAATATTTATTTCAGCAGGCAAGTAAAATAGGGCATTTATCTCCCTGATGACAAATTTTAAAAAGACAAAAGAGAGACAAGTGTGGGTATGTATGACTACTGCCTGCCTTTTAACTGGTGACCTGCACACTAAGTGTGTGGCCAAGGCTGTCACTATTTTAGGGATTGAAGATTGAGCTATATGGTCCATCTGGATTGGGCTTGAGTTAAACACTCAATACCAGACAGCCATGTGAAAAACCTGTTTGGCTCTATACATTCTATCAAAGAAACTGGCAAATCTACAAATGGCCATAGTGACATGCATCCATATAAAGAGCATCGAAGACAGTCTAGATCAAATTCTGGACAGCTTTTGAAAAAGGGAAAGTCTGAGTAATTTATTTCAGCCCACTCCCAAGCCCAAAGGGAGAGCCTAAGACCAATAATATTTATGATTCGCCAGATTTTAGATTATAAGATTTTTGCTTAGTAACATGATGAATTTGCTTTATTTGACTACTATGTGTCTAGAAGGCCCCAGTCTGTCACTACCCAAGAGTAATTCAGGTGAAAGAATACATGGGAAGATTATCTTTTTTTTTTTTTTTTTAAGTTTAAACTCCTCTTTAATGTGTGGCACACGTAGGTGGTAGGTGGTGGGGGGGACAGAAAGGAGGAGCACTTTGGGTCTAAATAATAGGTCTACTGGATTATATCCATAAAGAGGCATACACCATCTTCTTGAGGAACTTATGGTCTTGTCAGATCATGAAACCATCAACTGAGTCATTTATTTAGTCATTCAATAAATATTCGATGTTTCCTACATAAAAGACATTGTGCTCAGCACTACAGGGAATACCCATGATGCAATAATAAAAACAGCACGTAAGTGAGAGCCAAGTTAAATGAAACACACTCTGAAGCACTAGAAGAGTTTCCAAAAGAAATGTCTGAGCAATTAGCAGAGGCCTTGTAATGGAGGTGGCACTTGGCCTTGAACCCAGAGTGGGTGGGTGGAGAGATGGAAGGGCATTCCTCTGGAGAAAGTCTACAGGAGCAGCCAGTGAGCAGGTGTTTTGGGGACACACTTGAGAGACGGATTTGCATAAAGAAAACCCTGCCATTCAATGGTTGTTAAAGATAGTGACAGTCTTGATGATTGACTCTCCTATTCCACAGAGAAATAATACCCAGGCAAAGAAGAAAAGAAAGAAAAGAGAAGTTACAACAAATAAATGCCGGGAACAAGTTGCATACTTAATAGAACTGTGGCGTCATTTCAGTCGCATTTTGTAGAGACAAAATATACCTCCCTTAAGGCTGTATTTCATAGCAACCAAATAAATCATCTTTATAAGGTAGATGTAATGTTAACTCTAACTGTGACATGTAAAAGACTGCCGATGGTTATTTTTTAATTGTAGGGTTTCTTAACTTATTTTTGGAAGCTTCTATTGTTTGATATGGATTTATAAGACAGGGGAAATACTATCCCTCAAATGGAGGGGGATGTAGTGGTGATGCCTGAGCCACCGGCCCAGGTAATTTTCGGCTGCACCTACATAAGCCTTACTTCAGGCGAAGAATCTAAACACGACGTAGAAGGGGAAAGTAGAAGGTTAAGGAAGGAAAAGCTTGAACCCAATAACATGGAAACATCTGCTGAAAAGGCAAGCATTTCTTCTACATGTACTGACTGATACTTCTTATGTTCTCATACCAAAAACATACAAAAGAAGAAAATAAAAGCAAAAGGGGGTGCACAGAAAGTTGTACATCTAATGAAGCAGTTTGAAAGAATTTCCAAGCAAAATATTGTGGAAGTATTATAAATCAAGTTTTAAGAATTATCTGACGGGGCCCCTGGGTGGCTCAGTCATTAAGTGTCTGCCTTCGGCTCCAGGGTCCTGGGATCAAGCCCCACATCGAGCTCCCTGCTCTGCGGGAGGCCTGCTTCTCCCTCTCCCACTCCCCCTGCTTGTGTTCCCTCTCTTGCTGTGTCTCTCTCTGTCAAATAAATAAATAAAATCTTAAAAAAAAAAAAGAATTATCTGACAAGAGTGATATATATGCAAGTAGATTCTGAAGAGGTGCCTTTGTTAAAGCTAAAATATATATATTTTTAAATTTATGGAATATATTTTTAATTTATTTGTAAGCACTTGTAAAAATGTACATATTGCTTTGTAATTGACGCTATATATTTCTTAATAAAACAATTCTCAAATTAGCTTCTTATGACTGGTCTTTTTGATGTAGTAGTTTCACACACAACTTTCTGAGGGACATCACCTTTCTTCAGCTCTTCTTTTGCGGTCTAGCCTTAATTTTTATTTATTTTAATTAAAAATGTTTTTACTGAGGTATAATTGACATATAACATTATATTAGTTTCAGGTGTACAATAGTGATTCAATATTTGTATATATTGGAAAACGATTGTCACACCCAGTGAGCCTGGTTAGTATCTGTGATGAAACTAATTTTTTTGTGATGAAGACTTTTAAGATCTACTTTTCTTCAGTTCATTCCCTCCCCTCATCCTTGAAGCCCACTGGCTACTCCCCTCTTGCTCTGTGCCTTGACCTTGCCTATGGAGAGAATATTTGGGAATGGGTAGCTTCAGGATGCTGGATCCAATCATATTTTTCTTAAGTTATACCTCTAGTCCTCCCTTCCCCTGTTTAACTTCCCCCACATTTGGAAGAGATAATGGAGACTAAGGTAAACAATGCCAAATCCATTCTCTTATCCCGGAATGCGTGCTGCCAGCTTAGAGCAGCAGGTACCGGCTCGCTCTCCTTTCAGTGGGAGGGGCCACCTTAGCTATAGAGCCCAGGCCAAAATAGAGCAGATAGCAGTATGTTGATTTTTCCTCGAGTGGAAACTTTCCCCTGACCGCTGCTCTGAGCGCTGGTTCTCATAGGAGAAGAGAGGTTCAAGGTCCCTAAATCCATCTTACCTGCCAACAGGTAAGAAGAAGCTTACATTATGTATCCAAAAAGCATTTATGGAGCATCTAGTGTGTGCCATGCCTTCAGCCAAGTACCAGGGATACAAAAGTAAATAAAACACAGCATTTACCCAGAGAAGCTCAGAGTGTTGCCGAATAGGCAGTTTCCTTTGCCCTAAGGGAATTTCCTTTGCCCTCTTTCCAAAATAAAGTCCACTAAAGAAAGACCCAGCCCAGGGCCCTAAAATACCATCATAAGAGAAACTCCGTTGGGTCTAGCACAGGCTAGTATTCATTAATCTCCTATGCAAAAGGTGGGGAAAGAGATGGCAGTTTAAGCCCATTAACTCCATTTTACTAGAGGTTAACTGACGAGATTACACTAAACTGTGCAAAGAAATATTTTCACAATTTTTCTCAAGGTGTTTGCCAATTTCCCTGTAAGCAGAGAGGAATGAAGAACTGAAGATAGAAGAGGCAGCTCAAAGTCATCTGACTGAAAGCAGTTTCTTTGAGTTTTCTGCTTTATCTTTAAAATTTTGTGTAAGTTATATATTTTATTTTTCTACATACCCCATAGGTGTTTTAATATAAAAGTAATCATTTGAATTACTTACTATCAATAAAAGTAATGTGCAAGAAGATGCACATATTAATCTAGTAAGAACTTTTCCAAATGTAAACAAAATGTGGATTATATATGTCTACTTTTTGAAATGCACTGAGGTTTTCAGGGTGGATTCATTTATAGTCCATTTTATAAATGTTCCATGGTCAATGGAAAGAAAGTTGCAAATTCTGGTTTAAGCTTACTTACTGGGGCTCCTTTGTTAATTAGGCTATTTACATCATCTATAGTCTCATCTCATGAGATGGAAACAAAGAAGCATGCAGCAGCAATTGCAGTTGGCAGTTACCATAGGATCATCTTTCAGATGAAGCTGTGAATGGCAGAGAAATAAGATGGAAAGAACCTGAAGTTTTAAGTGCACAAGAGAATGGGTGGATCGCACCAAACTTGAAGTCCCTCCTAATTTCCCCACTGTGTGAGTGAGATGAGTAAAGGTTTGGTTTTGGTTTTGAGTCTGTGTGATTATTGTCACTTACTGTTGAAAGGTGCAATTTAGAAAGCCAACAAGAGATAGAAGTTAGGCTCTTATTTAAGGAATAATTTGAAGTGGGGTTCGGTGTTGGGGGGTGGTGAGCAAGATGAAGCCAGGCCTTAATATAATGGGGAACAAAGCCTAAGTTGTGACCTGGGATGGAAGGGGCAGTACTGGAGAAGTTAGCATATAAAAGGAATACCACTCTTTAGCATATTTCATATTGCTTCTTCTAAACAAGTCTCTTCTTGCCTTGGAGATATAGCTAAGCTGCTACTTTTCTAGAATGTGCTCACGGATGCCCTGCTTTTATGACCCTGTTCCCTTCCCTTCTACTCTCCTGTCCACTATTTATGCTTCTTATGGGGAAAGAGATGGTAATGGATTTCAAATTGTGTTGAGGATGAATTTAGACTGTGTTTGGAGCAGATACCTTGGATATGAAAATTTGTGGAATAATTTGGGGTAAATAGATCAATGGATGTGGAATTTGAGGAAAACCTGGTGAAATCTTATGAGAATGGCTCCTACTTTATCCTGGTACAATGTCTAACACATAGTGGATTCTCAGTAAATATGCTGAGTAAATGAATAAATGAATTAAACTGAAATTAAAAGTTAAATACCTGTTTCCCAAGAATAAACTGTTCCTTAGGCTTTCATTAGTCAGTAGTGGAATTGGCAGCAGCAGCTATCAGATGAGCTATTTGGTGTCTGCCACCTGCTTTCTCCCCAACGTTACTTCTCTAGGTATCTAAAAGGCAAGAAATTATCATATTCCAAAATGAATCAATGTTGTTGCAGTCTGCCACTCTTCTCCATAGGCTTCTTTTTTTTTTTAATATTTTATTTATTTGACAGAGAGAGACACAGCGAGAGAGGGAACACAAGCAGGGGGAGTGGGAGAGGGAGAAGCAGGCTTCCCGCCGAGCTGGGAGCCCGATGCGGGGCTCGATCCCAGGACCCTGAGATCACGACCCGAGCCGAAGGCAGACGTTCAATGACTGAGCCACCCAGGTGCCCCCTCCATAGGCTTCTTAACAATCCTCTTCTACCTAACCCCTTCCCCCCAAAATGCAAAATAAAGCATTTATGCATTAAACATCCACTAAGCCTTTATTTTATGCCATCCCTGGGCACATAGCTGAGAACATGGATAACTTGAAAATCTTAAAATCCTACCAAAGGATATTTATCATTTATGAACCTTGTGTCCCTTACCTCCTGTAACACAGCCTTAATACTTCTTTAAAGAAAAACATACTACACTTTTCTTTTAAAAAATCATTTTTATATGCTAATTTTCACACCTTTCTCCAGAATTCATATAGGCTCTCACCAGGTTATACTGAGATAATAACCATTAATTCCCATTGGCTTGTGACAACAACAGTTAGTTGTCACTCATGTTACAACTGGCAACTGCAAATCAGCTCCAGGTTTTGTCCACATACATTCTCATTCCAGGACCCAGGCTGAAAAAGCAGCCTTATCTGGAATATGTCTTCCTCTTGTGGCAGAGGAAAAGAGCAAGTGACTTGGCAGAAACATGCAATAACTCTTCAAGCTTATGCTGGGACATGGTGTACATCATATATGCTCCTGTGCAATGACCAAAGCAAGTCAAATGTTCCCTACCCTGTCTACAAAGGATTTGCTATAAGGCTGGGGCAACGGACAGGGATATAAATCTTCCTATAGGGAGGGAGTATAAATATTGGGAATCCTAAAATAATAGACACAGCTCATTACTCGGGGAGGGGATATGACTGATACAGGAAAGAAAAAAACATTTCACATTTTTAGCATTTTATATATAAGGTTTTTTTTTTCCCAGAAGCAAATGTTTATTAAGTACCTCTTTTGTTCCAGGCACTGTTCTGGGTGCTTGTTATGTATCAATGAATAAAACAAAGAAAATAAATCTCTACTTTCATTGAACTTATCCACTAAAATATTAAAAAAATAAAATAAAATAAAATAAACCTATTAGATAAGCTAATGGTATAGTAAGCAGCTCTTCTCTCTTTTTGAATTTGAATAAATACTTGCAGGTAATTAGCATCTTTTTTTTTTTTTTCTGTGTATGGGAATTTGGAGGCTGGCCAGTGGTAGATATGTCCAAAGAGACAACACTAGACCAGTACTATGATCCCAACTTATTCTTTGGCTGCATGACGTTTGTGTGGTAATTAGCATCTTGATCACTGTCAAAGCACACCCCACCCCAAACATGGCGAGAAATGTGCACTGCTATTGAGAAATCCAGGGTAAAAATGAAAGTTCAAGTAAGTACAACATGTCAGGAACCAGATAACAAGCTATCATTCTGTTAGTATCTGCTCTTTAATTACCCAAACATCCCAAGTGTTCAAGACCCTTTTGTGCCAGATATTATAAATCAAGATTTTCTTGTTCAAGAATGTACTAGTCAGATGTTTAAGTTAGCTGACATGTTATTCTCATCTTTGAAATAAAATGTAACATTGTAGAACTAAAGAAATTTAAGAGATTATCTTCTTAGGCCTCTGCTCATTAGATATAATTGGTAAGACCTCTTCATCATTGTCTACAAATATGGTCAGGTGCATTTTTATTTTTATATGTCACTTGATCCAAATCTTATTAGGATGCCAAGATTTTTTTTTATAAATGAAAACCATAAGAAATAAAACAATAAGGATAAGAGGTTATTATGTATGTTGAACTTTGGTCCTTGGTTCTTAGGTCACCACTGTCTTAGTTCATTTTTACATGCTCAGAGTCTATTCCCCAAACCTACATCTTGGATGGGCAGCAGGCTCCAGAGACATGGAGCTACACTATCAGCCATCTCCAGCATTTCAAGGTACTTCTAAGTTATAATCATCTGCCCAGACTCCCCTTCCCATTATGATTAGTTCCTCGTTAGAGCCCTCACTCTGGTTTTGACAGCAGACCTCAGAGTACTGTTTCAAGCCAGGTCTCCTGATAACATTTAAATTGTATCTTTTTTCACCCAGGGGGCATCTGCACCCATCCAAGTTGCCCAAGTAATCAGTTCCCTCACTCAAGTCATAGCTGTACTCACCAGAGTCTATAAGGGCTCCCCTTGAGTTTGAATGTCCCATTGCAGCTTTCACCCAGGGCAATCAAACATACTGATCTCTCTGCTCTATGCTTGATCAAGTCCATTCAGCTTATTTGTTATCACAATGATGAAAAACTGCTCCAAGGATACTCATTGTTGTCTTCTGTAGGAAGCCAAACCATGAGCACCAGTTAAAGAGGAAACTCGGGCCTAGAGAAGTTAAGTGATGTGGGTCAAATGGTAGAAAAGGACAACACCTACTTCAGTATTCTATTACATTACTCTGTCTTTCTCCTTTGATTCAGATGTCCATCTTCTTATAGCTACGTCTGTGTTTCTTTTTTTTTTTAAAGATTTTATTTATTTATTTGAGAGAGAGAGAATGAGAGAGAGAGAGAGCATGAGGGGGGGAGGGTCAGAGGGAGAAGCAGACTCCCCCCTGAGCAGGGAGCCCGATGCGGGACTCGATCCCGGGACTCCAGGATCATGACCCGAGCCGAAGGCAGTCGCTCAACCAACTGAGCCACCCAGGCGCCCCTAAAGATCTCCTATACAGCTTGGAACAAGGCAAAGTCAGTCCGTAGAGTCCTCCCTGGCTTCCCTTGTAAAGAATCACTACCATATCAACACCATTAGCACACACTTAGGCCACACTGCTATGCTGGTGCAACACAGATCTATATCAAGCACATCTACATTAAATTGATTATTAGTGCCGGAGAATGAAAACTTACATTGCAAGTGAAATGGAATAATTTTGCTTTAGTAGGTAATGATGCTTGCTGGTACTGTGGGTCAGAACTCAACACCACATTGTCAAAATAAAGTAGTATACTGTTCTTAACCGGTTGGTATGAAAAAGAACGCCTACTGCAAAAGCATTTTCCAGTTTTTCATTAAGTAGTATTAATCTTAACATTCTTTTAGGGACACCTGGGTGGCTCAGTCAGTTAGGTGTCCAACTTTTGATTTTGCCTCAGGTCATGATCTCAGGGTCGTGAGGTCAAGCCCTGTGTCAGGCTCCAAGCTCAGTGGAGAGACTGCTTAAAATTCTCTCTCCCTCTGTCCCTCCCCCCACTCATGCTCCCTTCTCTTTCTGTCTCTCTTTCTCTCAAATAAATAAATACATACATACATAAAATCTTTAAAAAATATATGACATTTTTTACTAGAAAGAGAAAAGAGAAATCATATTCAACTCTTACTCTATTTCTGCAAGTTAAATTGAGCTCTATAGATCATCTCTGTGTTGCTAATGCTAACTAATGAAACCTCAGAATCTAGCCTTAAAATGCAATAATACAGAATATTTTTTATATTATCAAAAGAAAGCCTAGACAAAGATGAAGGAGTTCTCTCACCCCCGCACCCACAGAGAAGGAGAGATCATTCTTTGTCATTAACTATTCCGAAGAATCTGATTTGATAAAACATCGTATTGTAAATTTTTACAAGAATAATCTGGCTTTCCTATGACATATTTGGACTCAGGTAAATAATCACAAATTTTGTAAGCTTCTTTTTTCCTCTATTACTATAAATCTGGTTTGGGGGGAAGTAGCTTTTGGTTGGAAAGCTCTTATAAGACTGAAAATTTTAGAAATTGTTGTCAATTCTATAACCTGTAATTCTGATTGGCGCCATTTTCAAAAAATAGTGGGGGTGAGAGGTAAGGGTGGGCGCTGGGGGGGTAGGAGGGGAGATATCAGGAAGGAAAATAAAAAAAATGTACATTACAGTTTTCATAGAACAAGATACTGAAACTTTAGGGGTATTTTTAGTTAATATTGTTATTAAAGCATTATGGTTTGTCATTTTAGTTCAAAACTATTAAGAATTTTAATTTCCTGAGATGAGATAGTATGAAAAGATAGAACAAAGAATTCTGCTCCTATGATCTTCTTCTGTAAAAAAATAAAGAGCCCTACTTCCATTTTTACCTATTATGAATGGCATCTCTAATTGGGTATTATTTTTAGGCTCTCCAGTTGGGGCTATCCCAGAATACAAAGAAAAAAATTGTATTTATGCTTTAAGGCTATTGCTGTGGCTGGTGACAGAGACCACCTCCCTCTAGAGATGTTAAAAATGCTGAAAAGTTGTTTTCCCAGTTTCTTTCGTGACTAAAACATGAACTCACAGTGTAGCCTTGGCCAATAGGACTTGAAGTAAGTCTGCTGCAGAAATTCTGGAAAATGCTTTCTTTTCTTATTCTTAACTTGATATTTTGTTTCTCCATATTATGTTTGGAATAGCTGCAGTCAGCTGTTCAAACCAAACCAAACCAAACAAAAAAAACTAGACAGACCTTTCCCAGAAGCCTCGCAAAAGACAGCTTCTAAAATCTCATTGGCCAGAATTAGGTCTCCAGCCTTTGCCTAACCCAGTCGCAGGCAAGAAAAATGTTAATTACCACAATTAGCTTAGACTAATTAATGTTCACTGGCTGGAGCTGGGGAGGGGGTTAGCCTCTACTGAACTTACGACACCATCTGTTACGTGAACATAACTGAGATTGTTAGTTAAGAATAAGAAGAAAATGGGTACGTCACAGAAGACAAGCACTAAGTGAAGCGATACTCAGAACTTCAGGGAAAGGAGAGCTCCTTGTGCGCTGAAAAAGTCAGAGAAGACTTTGTAGAGGAGGTAGAACTTGAGCTGGGTTTGGAATAAAAGGGAGAATATTATCCAGATGGAAGGTATGAGGACACTGTGCAGAAAAAGGAGCTTAAGCAATGGCACAAATATTGTAAGAAGATATTTAATGTGTTCAGGTTACTGTTGCTGCATAATAAGCCACTCCAAAACAAATATTGTATTGTGTTATGGATTCTGTGGTTCAGAAATTTAGAAAAAGCACAGCAGAGATGGTATGTCAATTGAGAGAACTGAAATCTGGGAGCAACTCAATATCTATAGGCTGAAATATTCTAGAGGCATCTATATACTGTCATGCCTAGTGGTTAATGCTGGTTGTGAGCTGAGACCACAGCTGGGTGACAGGTTGTAATACCTATACATGGCCTCTCTATGTGGTTTCTCCACATGAGCCAGTTTGGGCTTTCTCTCTGCGTGGAGGCTGACTCCAAAAGTGGGCATTGCAAGAGAGCAAAGTGGGAATGCAAGGGGTTTTTATGATCTAGTCTTGAAAGTCACATGCTCACCATACTTTATTATCTGAAGCAGTCAAAAAGATTCACCCAGGTTCAAAGGGGAGGAGATAAAGATCCCAAGACTGGATAGTAGTAGTAGTAGTGTCAAGATCACATCTTATTAAGAGCATGAGGATGGGTGATATTGTTGCAATAATTTTTGGAAACACAATCGGCTACAGAATGAAACTTCTTCTAAAGTCTCAAAGTTCAGAACAAGTAACCATTCTCTCCCCACATCTAAAGAAACCTTGCAAATTCATTTAGGACTTGCTTAAGAGATGGCCAGACTGATCCAGTGACTATAACCAGATCACAATCTGAGAAAGACAGTTGTAATTAGAAGATTCTTTAAAGAGAATTTGTAGATGTAGAGAGAGCTGTGGTTTCCCCACCAATCCTTACTAAGAAGGGGAGACCTGAGTTGCTCAATACCTGTAATTCTTAAGCTAAATGTTGTGCCCCCTCCAAAAAATTATAGAGATTAGAAGTATGTACAAGCAAGTGACTCTATTGAGTTGCAGAATTTTGTAGGCTCACCCCAAGCCCATCTAAATGAAATGCAAGATACTACTTGGAAGATCCTCATATGTGTCTTTGAAGATGAGTCAGAGTGCATAAAAATATAAAAAGTTCTCATTGGGAGGACTCTAGGGAGGGAAACTGGTCATAATAGACTGCAATGACTAGGATCTTGAGAGAGATCAAGAGTTGGTCAGGATGCATGAGACCGAGGACATCTGATACTCAAGCGAGTACTACGAGAAGTACCTTCTAAATATGATGTTTACCTTGTGTTTTCCTTTCCCTGATCCAAAAGGAGCAGACTCAAAGTGGCAGGGGTAAGGAGAGTAAAAGAAAAAGTTAGTAGGAGTAGGTCCAGTTCTTGTCCTTTCTGAAGCATGGTTCTCTAATTTTTCCTTTAGGTCTTTTTTTTTTTTTTAATGTTAAGTTAGCCAACATACAGTACATTAGTTTTTGATGTAGTGTTCAACGATTCATTAGTTGCATATGACACCCAGTGCTCCTTTTGTTCTAT